CGTAAATAATCGCACGCTTACGGGAGCGACCATTAGGATGCGGAGACAAAACGGGAGCCAATTCGACCATAGGGGGAAGGAGACTCATCTTACTCCGGGAGCCAATTCGACCATAGGGGGAAGGAGACTCATCTTGCTTACTCCGGGAGCCAATTCGACCGTTAGGGGAGGAAACCTTAACTTATAACGGGAGCCAATTCGGGTACGTCCAAAGCCCCAAGTATCTGAATTTACTGCCGTTTCGGAAATTTGTTGTTTGGAAAATCTAACTTCAAATTCGTTTTTCTCCTATCAAAGTACTCCTAGATACCAATTTTCGCGCAAATCCATTGACAAACAACTGGTGCCAGTTTTCGGCCGTCTTGAATTTTAAATGGACGCCATTTTGAAACGTTTTGAGATATTGACTTTTGGTATGCCCGAAAAGTTTCCTTTTTTTATGCTCTTTCGAACAAGGTATAACAAAGGGGGTCTTCCTAATTTAAAAAGTTATTAGGTTCCGTCCCCCCCTGTCCCCAAGGGGTCGCCCGGAAAATTTTAGGGGAGCTAGAAAGTAGCTCCCTTTGACCTAGGAACATCCCTCAAGTTTCAAATCTTTACCTCATTGAGCTTGTTAACCTGTTTCTAATTCTTGCATTTTCAGAAACTACATTGTCTCCTGATCACTCCACAATTTTTTCAGATTTTTCCGAGCCGTTTTTCCCTCCGAAAACGACTTTTGAAGTTCGAAATGTTATAATGCCGCGTTTGCCCGCGCTTTAGCGGCAATTCAATATGGCGCCGGAATTACCCCCTGGCTTCTTGCCACACATTCGACCGGGCGCCGTCAGCGAGACCTCTACGCGTTCGAATATCGGGGCTAATCAAAACAACCAACTGGCTGTTATCAATTTCACCTTTTGACAAAGATTTCTCTAGTTTTGGGCATATTTTCTGAACTGTTATTCGTTCAACTAAAATATCGAACCCTGCTTTACAAATATCTCGACCTGCAATCTCCTTGGAACGTTGGAAAATCCGAAAATATTGACCAAATTTGTGCTAGTTTACTCAGTTATTTCAGTACACTGAGATACCGAGTTTCCATGGTAGTGAAGTGAATTTGGAAATAATTCTTCTTGAAAATGTTAAGTGCATATGTTTTTGCAATAGTATTTGGTTAAACTTCAGAAACAACAACAGATCGGCCAGTTAAATCCTGACACTGTTACTGACCATGCCGAAGCTTCATGATGTGAAGCCTTGTGCTTTGTTTCGGGAAGTAAATATTTTGAAGAAAACTTCCTACTTCTCATTTACAGCAATCTAAATAGAATCAGTAATCGAATGTCCTTCCCTTAATGGCTCTCTTTAAAGAAATATCTACAATATATTAAATGTATCACTTGTTTACTCTTAGGAAGCCACCCAAGACTAAATAGCCTTTGACAATTTTCTACTCTGGGACCTTAAACTTATTAAACTGTTCAGTGTTCCATAATTATTAACAGGTATCTTGTGAATTGCTAGTGTGTGCCATTCTTTGATAGTTTGTCTCAATGCGAGATATAACATCAGTGATTTAATCTCCATTTCTCATCCACTCATTTTCTACGTAATCACATCCTCCACAAGTCTTCGATTCACTTTGAACCTGATTTTTTTTTGGTAAATAATGGCGCACTATGCTGAGCGTTTTACCAGAAAGTCAGCTTTAAGTTCAATTCTTCGACATGGAACTACACACAAAGTTTGTGAAGATGCATACCCTGATTCTGAATAAATGGATGTTATTAAGAATCTTGAAGGTGAAAGGTGAGTAGCTAACTAATTTGTAAGTTCCCCTCTCAATTTCAATTACCTACATGGTTTCTAATGGCGGATATTAAGAGTCGTCCAGAAAGTAAGTTTACCTGTTTAATATTTCCTAAACGAAGATAGGTAGAGAAAATCTATAATAAGCTTTGAAAAGTCACTACCCTGGTTCTCTAATACGCTTAAATTTGGCTTGATAGAACTCTAGGAAAGTGGGATTTTCTGAACCCACCTCCTCTCAGCACGGGTTCAAAATTTTACGGAGCTTCATTCGCAAGTGAGCTGTCCTGTCTATCGCTCATGGCAAGAAAGTGGCTTGAAGGTGGTTGAAATACATGTAAAACATAAGTAAGGACATTTTCCAACAAGGAATTAGCAGGATTAGCCGTGTTTACTTCAAAATACGGGAAAATGTCCTTACTTATGTTTTACATGTGTTTCAACCACCCCTAAGCCACTTTTTGCCATGAGCGATAGACACAGTGGCTCATTTGCGAATGAGGCTCTGTAAAATTTTGGACCTGCGCAGAGAGGAGGTGGATTCAGAAAAACCCACTTTTCTAGAGTTCTATCAAGCCAAATTTAAAAATCTATGGCGCGTTAGAGAGCCCAGAGTGGTGGCCTTTTTAAAGTTTATTACAGATTTTCTCAAAGTACCTATCTCAGTTTAGGAGATATTGAACAGGTAAACTCATCTCTGGACAATCCTCATAGTTGTTCTTCCCTCTTTCTTGCAAATTATTTATTGAAATGAAATACATAACGCTCCTTATCATTTAAGTATCACTATGAAGAAGCAACTGAGTTTAAAGACTGAGACAAAAAAAAGATAATGGTGACAATTAAATGAGGTGAGAAAATCTACCAACTGGAGGCATCCACTTCAAAATATTGCAATTAAATGAATTTGTTGGCTGGAGTCAAGTGCATCCATCTGCATAATTGATTTTTAGGGTTTCCATGGGTGTACTGAAGGAAAATCTAGACCAATTTTTTTCGACTTATATTTTGATCAGTACCTAGACATTTCTGCTGTGAAATGGAGACCTCAGGTTTCCATGTCAATCCAGTGATTAAAGAATACCTTGGTGTGCCTTTGAATTAACACTTGCTACATTTTTTGTGATTTTCAATTACTGGATATTACATTCATTGCACACCACAAACATTTTTTATGAGAAAACCACATATGTTCCGAAGAATTCAAAACAAGTCATGTGCATGTTGGAGCAACTTTACTTCCGTTCTAGTTTGAACATTATTGGTACGTACCTTTCAATTTCAGGATTTAACGGCTTTTACCGAAGGGTCTGTTGGAGCCGGCACACACAGTTCCAGGGTAGAGTGGAGATCCATGTGGAAGAAAATTTCTTTGAACTGATTTTTTAGTAAATAATTGCTCAGATAACTGAAGCATAATTTACCACACTATCAGACTTCAAAGGGAGTTGGTCATGAGGAAGTATTCACAACAGCATAGGAAAGAATATGTGGATATACAAGTAGAAGTAATTAGAGTCCCTTTATACTGAGAGTCAAGACAATTCGGCTCATGGATGTCACAAACGGGAATAAAGATTACAGAAATCGAACGTTTTTCGTAATCTTTGATCGGCCCATTCTCGAATTCCTTTCTTCGTTCCTTCCCTCATTCCGTTTGTTCCTTGCCGAACCCGTAATTCCCCGGTTCATTCCAGATTATAATCTTTGCAATCGGTGAAACTGTAATCTTTATTCCCGTTTGTGACACTGTGAAGGCCTAAAATACGGGAACCAATCAGAAATGGATTCAAATTGTCTTGACTCTCAGTATAAAGGGACTCTAGAAGTAATGAGCAAATATACAGATTACTGTTCAACACTCAAGAAAGGAGGAAAAATCTTAGAGTAAGTGCTTGGTATCAGATGTTCTAGCAGCATAATGCCCGTCCAATGTGAAGATTGTTTGAATACCCAAAGGTTGCAAGTGCAAGAATCTATGTATGACCGCAGAAAATGTATCATGAGAAGAACACTTATAAGTATATTTTGACTGACACGAACACTGTAAAAATCGTGTGCAATGTTAATCCCAACACCGTAAACACGGCGATTTCAACTGAGAAACAAGCCTTTAGATACTCAAGTGATAGGGACAGACACATATAACTAACACAGTTTTGAAAGCTATTTCCGGATTTCCCAACGTTTCAAGGAGATTGCAGGTCGAGATATTTGTAAAGCAGGGTTCGATATTTTAGTTGAACGAATAACAGTTCAGAAAATATGCCGAAAACTAGAGAAATCTTTGTCAAAAGGTGAAATTGCATAGAGAAAAAAAAGGAGGTGCTTGCATTTCGGGCATCTTGGAATTTTTCATAGAGTATCTATAGCTTTGATGACGTCATTGGGTACAGCGACGTTTTTATCCTGTCGATTTTCTTGGAAATGGTGTAATTTAAGGGAAAAAGTCATTCTATAAAAAGTGCTTGAAATTAAATAAAGAGTTGATTTAAGTAAAAAAATCGGACATTATGGTCCGTTTTTACAGCGTCAACATAACCCTCAACGAGCGTCTTGTTTACATTGATGACGTAGGTGGGTACAAATCCTCAAGATGCAAACACCTCCTTTTTTTCTCTATGGTGAAATTGATAACAGCCAGTTGTTTGTTTTGATTAGCCCCGATATTCGAACGCGTAGAGGTCTCGCTGACGGCGCGGCGCCCGGTCGAATGTGTGGCAAGAAGCCAGGGGGTAATTCCGGCGCCATATTGAATTGCCGCTGAGGCGCGGGCAAACGCGGCATTTTAACATTTCGAACTTCAAAAGTCGTTTTCGGAGGGAAAAACGGCTCGGAAAAATCTGAAAAAATTACGGAGTGATCAGGAGACAATGTAGTTTCTGAAAATGCAAGAATTAGAAACAGGTTAACAAGCTCATTAGAGTCTGTTGTTGTAGAGTATAGAAGTCGAGTTGTCAATTGTTAAGCAAGTATAGCAGCGAATAAAGTCCGAACATCTTTGACAACAACCTGGACATCTATTTTGAATCGTCGAATCCCTATATAGGTGGTAAGGTCTGTTCAATTAATTCGAGTCGTCAGAGCTCTAAATCTGACTGGTGGAGGCAATAAGATTGCCCCAAGGAGAGTGCTAGTTGTGTGTAGAGCGTCCTTTTGGCCCTACTCCCAGCGACCGTTATAATTTTCTTGAACTTTTTTTGCAGTCAGATGTTGTGAATGAGTCAACAATTAAAAGAATGGTCCTCCAGTTTGAAAAACGTGCTTTGAAAAATCAGGAAATGCGAATTAAATTTCCAGATGCTCCAGAAAAGTGAGTCTTTAAATAATAATGTTGCGTTACTTTTATTTGAAAATTACCTAGGAAAAAATGATCCCATCGAAAATTTACACCGGAAACATTTAGAATCTTTGATGATTCAAATACATCAAATTTTATTGGGAGCCAGCAATCCGAACTATTTCTTTTTTCATTTTACATTTAGTGTGGTGACTTGGAATTTGCACGTTTACGGTTTTCTATTTTCTATCGATATTTTATGGGTATGATAATAGTTCAGACACTATGGGATTTTATCTTGCATCAGATGGAGAATATGTTCCAGCATTTCAGCGGCCAAAGCCTCATTTCTAGGTGAATTGTGCGCATTGTATCCATTGGAGTTATAAAACTTGAATGCAACTGGCAAATAGTGGAAATTCGTTTAAAAGAACAAGCATTTTTTCTCTTCTTCTAGTAGGAGTTTCCTAATGTGAGGCAGTACTTTACCCTCTCTCCCCTTGGTGCCTTGTGTCATGTTTGGACAGTCCCTGATTTTATTTCATCAACTTGATAAAAATTGTACTTCTGGGAATTAGTAGGATTTTTCGACAAATTTTTCGAACCTATCGGAAAAAAACTATTTTAGTCAAAGTTCAAACACCTTCCAGGGCTAAACATAAATTTTCGAATGAAGAATAAGTTGTTTTTATTGATTCTAATGTATTATGAATTGAAATTGTTGAATCTGATTTAGGGCTTAGAGAGTAGGGCAAAGCGCTAGAACTGACTTCTACTGGCGCCTAGGCTCACCATGATTTTTAGTGGCTTTGTAAATGGGCTAAAAATAAGTTATACAAATTTGGGATCCTAAAACCACCCCTAGACCCTTATGCCACGGCCTTAATATAGACATAAAATGTTATGGATTAGGTTTAAAATATAAAATCTCAGCTTCGGGAGCAATAATATCATGTTGCCTTGAAGAAAATTGGCTAATTGGCAGAAAAGCATAAGGTGCTTTTGCTTCATTTTTGCAATTTTCTATGTTGCAATTTTTTTTTTTTTTTTTGCACTGAAGGTTCTTTGATTGATTATAAATAGGCTGTACTAAATAGCTTCACGTTTTCTGTTTTCGAACTAGAAGTAGCAGATATCAAAATGTGCTTTATGTAGCTTTTAAGTGCTAGTAATGACCAATAAAATATGACCAGACCAAGCGCTTAGGTCAAATATTCACCAAGTTTCAGCTTCTGAAAATGACTTGTTGAGCTGACTCCTCCAAGATTTGTAGCATTTTTTTCTGGAAAAAAAATTAGGATTCAAAGATATAAATGGTTTTATTAAATTAATTTTGTAGAATCTCACCAAGATTTTTACCATTTTCCCTTCTTCACTAGAGAGCTGGACACTAGTCTCCCTCTCAAAGTAGCTTCCTTCACTTTCCACACAGCACTGCAACGGTTCTTCCTACTTCTGCAAACAAGTTTTTTTCAGAGCTTAATTCCTGAGATTTTTCAAGAAACCTTCAATAGCTCTTTTAATTTCCTTGAAAAAGTTGAGCCTCTTGCCTTCTAATCTGTTCCTCAAAATGGGAAACAGCCATAATTTGCAAGGTGTGAGGTTCGGGTTGCAAGGGAAGTACGGATTAAAGTAAAAATAGCAATAGTAAAATATTTTTCATACCCTTATTTTATCATTTAGTCAGAAAATAACACATTTTTATCATTAACAATAACATACCAATAATATAAGCCCGACAATACCATGTTTATCGATTAACTCCTCAGTGAAGTGGGCCTTATGTCAGTAGGCGATGTCCTAGTGTAGGAGCAATGTCTCCTTCATCTCCAGCTGCTTTTTTGCAACAAGCTCACGTAGTCATCAGTACGGAGCAGTCACGTCAACTGACCTTACTCACCTATGAAATTTAGATGACGGATCATAACTCTCAAGCCCAAAAATTTCCTTTTAGTGTATGATGAGATGGTGAGAAGGAAAAAGTTCGGTTTTCCTTTCAAGGATTATTTGTAGAAAGTGCATTTAAACCAGCATACGGCCACATTTTTTGTCAGGGCAACCTCACATGGCTGTATAGACCGTGGGCCAGCAAGGGTTAACCCTCCCTCTCCCCCCCCCCCCCGGTGGGAATTTTGAAGGTGGTGATTTTCTTGAAGCTCTCGACTAGTAGAATAAGATTTTTCTTGTCTACGCGAATTCTATAGTGGTAGGGGGGGGGAGTAAGCCTCCCCCCTTAAACCCCCCAAAATCGCTCAGAATTCCGACTTTTCCGCGAATTTTCCCATTTTTCTCGAAAAGGCTTGATTTTAGGGCAAAACTTCACGTTACCAATCTGAAAGCTCGTGAATTTTTGGTTTATAAAAGTTGTGTCTGACTTTGGCCATGACCCGCGGCAACCCCGGAATGGGGGGGGAGGGGGCTTAAAATGTCAAAATATCTCAAATTCTCGCGTAAATGATCATTTCGCCGCGATTTCTCGCCAATAACGCGGAGAAGGTTGGTAATTTTGCAAAATTGCTTATCCCAAAAATTATAGAGCATACATGCTTCATTCTAGGTGCGGCCTAAGCCCTCGTGGGGGGGAAGGGGGGCCCCCAGCAGTACCCCACCCTATAAAAACCGTCCAGAATGGCCGCCTCCTTGAAGTAGCGTTATGCGCGAAAATGGGCGGCAAAATGAAAGCAAGTAGCGTTTGTTCTGAGAGAACATCAATGTGGATTCTTGTGAGAGGTGACAGAGGGGAGGGAAGTACACCCTCCTTCCTCCTCCTCCGCCTCCCCCCCCAAAAAATATTCACGAAAAACGTTAATTAAACGCGAAAATTCCACTTTATACGTCGATTTTCAGGGCTTGTCATTGACACGCTCACACTAACATAATTTAACGAGGGGGGCGGGGGGAGAAGGGTTCATCCTCCCCCTCCTCTTCTGACCCCTCCCCCTCCCCCAAAAAATAATCACGAAAAAATTTTAATAAACGCGAAAATTCCACTAAAAAAGGCGACTTTCTGAGCGTGTCATTGTCATGTTAACACTAATATTATTTAATGAGATGGTGGTGGAAGAGGGGGGAGGGGTTTAAAAGCCGTCCCTGTCCTCCCTCCCCAAAAAGTCTATTTCACTCTCGCTTCCTAAATGGTCTCTTCTCAAAAGATCTAGTCCAATTCCAATGCCTCGGTACTGAGCAATTTCCACCCAAGTTACTCTGGTGATGATATTTCAGGTGATTGGAATTTTTTCCGCTAACGTGCGTTAAAAACTCAGCATTAAGCTGAAAATTCTCACTACAGAGGGAAAAACTCCTTTGGAGTACTGGTTTCCCTCATAGAGATATGCTGTTTGGTGCAACACTAGTTACGTCCATATTCAGGAAGGCAACTGCAGACGCGTTTCGGCCTTGTTGGGCCAATCATCAGTGCAGTGCAGCCTCCTGAATTTCCTGCTACCAAGCTCGAGAGGTCGTCAAAATCAGCCCGAGACTTGGGCAAGCGGACGCTGACGGCAAGTAAACTTGCGCCCCCTCTGTAGTGAGAATTTTCAGCTTAATACTGAGTTTTTAACGCACGTTAGCGGAAAAAATTCCAACATACTAACGACCCGTGCGTCCACCGCAATCAGTTTGTGTATTTCAGGTGAATTTATGTGAGGATTGTTGCTAATTTAGCATTGGTAATTTTCCGTTTATTACATTTGGTTCACCAGTGAACTTCTACAAGGCGGTGGGAAGCTCAAATGCATGCTACTGAGGCTTATTGTCGCGCCGTCTATTCTTGAGAAAAGCTTGAACCTTAGCAGTTGATTATTATTGTAATCAGGGTTTTCTTTGAAGAAGAGTTTATGCAACATACGAATTCCTCTAAAGAAGCGAACATTTAACACTGTTGTAGATACAAGCAATTTGAAACTTGGAACAATCTGTTGATTCTTCTTAATTTATGACAATAAAAATTTTTGCCATGCCGCAAGAAAGAACTGTTTGTGTCACAACTTGAAAAAAGTATGTAAATTCGGTGAGGGATGGCACATATCTGGTCCTAACTTACTTGCAACAGAGCAAACATCAATCACTCTTTGATAGTTGCCTCTTTCTGTATCAAAAAGGACAGTTTTTATAATGTCGTCGATGCATCGAAGAAGGAGCATAAATACATCTGTGTCCGGCGAACGAACTCTGATTGCGACGACTAGTTATCAAGATAGTTCAACTCGGAAAAAAGCAAAATTATTTGAGTGTCTGCTTCTTATTGGTTTGATTTTTATTGAGTTTGCAAGGTGCAGTCAACTTTCAGACCGTCAGCGGAAGTAAACTGGGTACACGCTTCTCCATGCCTTAAATATACTTTTTTCTTTGAGAATATTGAGTGTAATCCATTCAGTTAAGAATAGATCGATACGTTGGTTCTTTTTTTTACCCTTGCCTAAAATACTTTTCCAATTACGGGGTATTTTGGTTGGGGGTCCTTTCATAAAAATGTATCCCCAAATCCCCCTCATAATTACTGAATGTTCTTGATAGATACATCACTGCGGTATGTGTCTATGACCAAATGAATGATTGAATAATTTGGCAAACGGTCAAATACACTTTGAGCCTATTTTCCAAACGTTTCTAAAATGTTGACATACGCTTAAGAATGTACATTTCCTTCAATTATGAATAAACTCCCCCCAGTTTCAGTAATTTCCAAAAAATAAAATAGTACCTCTACGTTCCCTGACTACTGCATAATTACGTATCCCTTCGAATCTTACAATTCTCTTACAGCAGCTGGGTTTCCCCGTTCCTCCTATTATTAAATAAGTAATGTTTTTAAATTACCGCTCCCCCACCTTTTTTAGTGTTTGCTGGGAAGGCTAAGATACATATACATATTAGTGTTAACATGACAATGACACGTCCTGAAAGTCGCCTTTTTTAGTGGAATTTTCGCGTTTATTAAAATTTTTTCGTGATTATTTTTCGGGGGAGGGGGAGGGGTCAGAAGAGGAGGGGGGAGGATGAACCCTTCTCCCCCCCGCCCCCCTCGTTGAATTATGTTAGTGTGAGCGTGTCAATGACAAGCCCTGAAAATCGACGTATAAAGTGGAATTTTCGCGTTTAATTAACGTTTTTCGTGAATATTTTTTGGGGGGAGGGGGAGGGGGGAAAGAGGGTGTTTGGAAAGAGAACAGAAAGAGAAACGACAGAGTATGGCCATTTGTATCTTTTTACTACAGGAAAACTGTTCCGCTTTTTGATTGGTCAACGAGTTTTTAGGCTTCATGATGCTCTTAGGGCCGTAAATAAACAACCAAGATGGCGACTCTCTGTATCATTGATAAGAAGCTAAAGTTCTCAGATTGGTTACGTGAAGTTTTGCCCTAAAATCAAGCCTTTTTGAGAAAAATGGGAAAATTCGCGGAAAAGTCGGAATTCTGAGCGATTTTGGGGGGTTTAAGGGGTAGTACCACTATAGAATTCGCGTAGACAAGAAAAATCTTATTCTACTAGTCGAGAGCTTCAAGAAAATCACCACCTTCAAAATTCCCAGGAGGGGGGGGGGGTTACCCCTTGCTGGCCCACGGTCAAGTAGTCTTAGGCAGCAGCAATTTCATAATAGAGTACCTTTATAGACAGAGTATGGCCATTCATATCTTTTTACTACAGGAAAACTGTTCCGCTTTTTGATTGGTCAACGAGTTTTTAGGCTTCATGATGCTCTTAGGGCCGTAAATAAACAAACAAGATGGCGACTCTCCGTATCATTGATAAGAAGCTAAAGTTCGACAATAATTTCACTTACACGGCAGGTTTTTTTTTTTTTTTTTTTTTTTTTTTTTTTTT